TAGTAAAAATTCCGATAAAAAAAGTAACTTAAAAGTAACTTAAAGTTACTTTTTCAGTAACTGTAACTGTAACGAATTACTTTTCAGAGTCAATAGCTTGTAACGGTAATTAATTACTTTTTGAAAGAAAAAAACTGTAACTGTAATTAATTACTTTTACAAAGTAACTTTCCCATCCCTGCATTATGTGGTCTATCAATAAGAGAGCACAAAACAATCTTAATCCAACCCAGGTTGGTACAAAATCATTCGGGCCGAAAACGCTATATGATTTCTGAGAACACACATGACGGTTACAATTCTTCTAAAGGGCGAGTAAAAGCAAAATGCGTGCTCCAAAATTTGGAAGTCTCCAGAAGACTTGCTAATTCGATGTGCATTTATCTTCTTATGACTTTTGGTTGTTTTTATCTCTTACAAGAAGCGTCATCTAGTGGCAGGATTGCATATTTATATGTATAAGGCCTCTTCACATTTGGAATACTTCACGTATTCCAGATAGTACAGTCAGTACAGAATGTTCGAAAAAAATTCTTTTCTTTATTCCCGACTTACAAAGTAAATTCCTGTTTCATCCCATTTCTGTTTTAAAACTATATTCCCGAAAGTTCCAAAAAATTTTATTTTTATGTTACCAATTGTGAGCTCTTTTTTCAGATTCAAAGGATATTCTTTTTCGAGAGAGTCCAGGTTTAGCGCATAGTGCAATAGCACACATCTACTCATATCGGCCGGTGCCTAGATGTAACTTTTCACTGCTTTACCAATAAGAATATTTTATTTTAAATTGACCAATTAGCGATGTGTGCTATTGGAACTCTCTCTTTTTTTCTAATCTTTCTCTATTCTTCAATTTTGTAGAAGCATAAATCGTACTTTGATTTTTATATAAATTAAGTATTGCTTTTATTAAGTATATCGATCACACACAAGCCAATTGCGCACAAGTCAATCACAGCGCTAGAAAAAAAAACTCCCTACGCAGAAATCGCAGTGATTGGCAGTGGACAATTGCAGTGTGTAAGTGAACTATTCCCGCTTTTATTTAAGGTAACATATACAAACATGCATATAAATAGATATATGTATATTTTTGAGTACTTTTTTAGTTCATTTTAAAAGATTATAGATATTAAATCAATTGTACTATGATATTGCCAAATCATACAATGTGAAACACGAGTTACGAAACATCCACGTAAACGAACAAAAAAAAATGATTCTACAAATCGATCTTTTAAATATTTTTATTTTAGTCTTCCGCTCTCGATGTTGGACTACTGTCAGATGAAGTCTGTGCCGTCAAATCCAGTGATGTCAATTTCGGCGCCGGGTAGCATGACTGCCAGCTTAGAAACGATGAGTTCGGTGAAAAGCTTGGTGTGCAGTCCGGATCTCACAATGTTCGCGACCACGCCGGGGTGCAGCGGAGTTGAAGCCGCAGATCTGGCCAGTCCAACGGTGGAGATCGGAAAATATCAGTGTCTACTCTGTCAGAAGAGCTTTACGCAGAAGAACGTATATCAGAGTCACTTGAGGTCGCATAGTAAGGAGAGCGAAGATCCATATCGCTGTAACATCTGCGGCAAGACGTTTGCGGTACCGGCGCGACTGACGCGTCATTATCGCACCCATACTGGCGAAAAACCGTACCAATGCGAGTACTGCAACAAGTCGTTCTCGGTGAAGGAAAATCTCAGCGTACATCGGCGTATCCACACGAAGGAACGGCCGTATAAGTGCGACGTGTGTGGACGCGCGTTTGAACATAGTGGCAAGCTACACCGTCACATGCGCATTCATACTGGCGAACGGCCGCACAAATGCACCGTATGTGCTAAAACATTCATACAAAGCGGCCAGTTGGTAATACACATGCGCACGCACACCGGTGAGAAGCCGTACGTGTGCAAATCGTGCAAAAAAGGTTTCACCTGTTCCAAGCAGTTGAAAGTGCATACGCGCACCCACACTGGCGAGAAACCTTACACTTGTGACATTTGCCGCAAGGCATTTGGCTACAACCACGTACTCAAGTTGCACCAGGTGTCGCATTATGGCGAAAAGGTGTATAAGTGCACAATTTGCAATGAGACTTTTGGTTCCAAGAAGACAATGGAGTTGCATATCAAGAAGCATCCGGAATCGCCGGCATCCATCACTTCCACTATTACAGACAGCGACATCTCACCAACGGCGATCGCTTCGCCAATCGAACCGGATGTTGAGATTTCTCAGAGCGGCGGTGGTGACGGTGGCAGTAATAGTAGCAACCTTGACCCAGCCACAGTCCCAGCGATTCTAGATTTACCGGATATCGCTGTTGACGATAAGGAAAACCTGAAGACTGAAGAGGCCTATTCGGATTCGACATCGAACGCTTACACTGTTCAACGCGACTTTGGATACTACCTTTATTCCGGCAACAGAGAGCAGCAGTATTCACAACCAATAGTAACATCGCCATCGAGTACGGTAGAACCCGTCGTGTTCGCTGATATCGACGAGAAGCGCTTTCAAGCGAGCGTGGTAGTAAGTGCGCCGATGGAACCAATGACTCATCATGTGTTTTTCTATCCCGAACCAGTGTATGCTAGTTTCGGTTTAACCACCAATAGCGGTGTTCATCTCGATACTACCGATTGCTCATCTCTTTTGAATTTGCCGGGTAACGACGCGCGCCGAAGGGTTGAGGCTGCCTTAGAAGCGGTTGAGGAAGAGCGACAAAGACAAGAATATGGTGCCAGGATTGTCAAAATTGATCGAGATCCGTTACTCACGCCACCGTGTAGTAATCCTGAGAGCCCAGCATCGTCACCTGACTTGGCCTTGGATCTAGTGATACCACCACGGGAAACGTTAATTTTGCCGCCCAGGAAACGTAGCAAGATGATTCTTCAATCCATGGAGAGCGAATATAGGAATAACGGTGGTAGTGGTGGCAGCCTAATCACGGCTTCACAGAGGCAAAATTCTGTCATTCAATTTGCGCGAGCTTCATAGTGAATGTGTCGGAGCTGTTAGAAAAGCTTTGTGAAATCGCTTTGAAAGTCACTTTAAAAATTGAAAAGGATGATCTCCTAGAAAATGTTTTACTTTGATAAGATCAAGATCGAAAATTGGAAGAAATGTCGATTTGTGTGTGAGTTTCTTCGGTCAAGACAAATTTGAGTGCAAGGAGTACGTAGAAATTGTCAAGAATTTCACTGATATTCCAATGTTAAATGAAAATAATTGCAAAACGCACGAGCGATGAATTTTTATCTTGTTAATTGCGATACAAAACTGCATTCGGCATATACGGAAGCTCTCCATTTTCAGAATTAGGAGTGAAAGCTCATGTGCCTCTTCGATGAAACCTAAATGTAACGCAAGTGAATCGCAACTCAGTGTTTTAACTTTCCATTCGCAATCAGTATGAGAAGACTAATTACATGAAGTTAGCTCAGCAATCAAAACCGCGTTTGTTACTTAATAACATTTAATAGCAATTAACGCAATCCATGTACTGCATATATTTTCCTAACGGTTTACGAGCGAAAACACTCGTAATTACCTTCTTGACCTTGTTCGATAGCTCCTTGATCTTTTGAGGCTTTAACATTACGTGTATGTTGGATGCGTGGAACATAAAGAGAAAAAGATTGGATATATTACTAGATTGAGAGAAGATCGCACTGATCGCGAGCGTGCATGATGAGGTAGCAGTGCGTATGCTATTAAAATAACCTTGTTAAACTAAATTTTTAGGAAAATTTAGATAATTTAAAAAAAGAAAAAATTATTATAAAAAACAGAAACCCTTTTATGGAAATTAGAATGTTAATTTTAAAACATATTGTCATATACGATATGTATGTACACGCGTATACTTATGCCTCTTTAAAGCTTTATTAAAAATTTTTATTGTATTTAATTTAAATGCTATTAAAATATATTTATATTTATATTTATTTTATATATATGTGTTATCTATATTTTAAATATATATATGGTAGATTTATTGTAAGAGGGGGGTTATATCTTTTTAACATTGTGCGATTCGTATACAGCAGCCGAGTAACACAAGCATCTGATACACAATGTTTAGTATTAAACAGAGCCACTTACTCAGTAAATGTATTTGCAATATTGGTGGTTCATTTAAGTATAAGAGAAATATTAGAATGGCTATGGGATATTTGGCTACTTAAAATTAACTACATTGTACGGTAGTTATTGCCAACAAATTAAAATTATAAATTCAAAACAACGCTTTGTTTTTAAAAAAACTGTATTCCTGACTAAATTCTGAGACATTTTTCTTACAAAACTTTGCCATGTTTAATCTTTAAACTACAAAAGAAAAGAGTTCGTTACTAATCGGATACAAAAAATTGATAACAACGGCGCATTTCATCGATAGATTTATCATGAACTGCAGAGATACTACCTATATAAGTGTGCGTGTCTAATGGTCTGAACCGATCGGTAATAAACTATTTCCTTCTGTAATTAAAAAATTAAACTTCAGACACACAAAGTTTTACAAGAAGAAAAGTTATTACAGAATTTAAACGGGAATATGTTATTTTTTAAGACAAGGAATTGTTTTGAATAACTCTGTATAGCGATCAGTAATCAACGTACAAAATGATTAAAATTATATTTAAATGGTTAGTCAACTTTTTGAGATAACTATTGATCACATAACTGCCGAATATTATGGTCAACAATTGATCAACATTACGCAATTATCGACTAATGTAATATAATATGGAAGAAAGTGTTGAAAGTGTAAAAATTGACGTCTGAGTATTTATTTGTTGAGCGCAAAGCAAAGAATTGCTGTAACTCGGACTTTACACGTATTACCTCATCGTTGCACGCAAGCGACGTTTGTTTTTTTTTTAATAATTTACATGTCCGCTCGCACGCGTGCTATTGACTAGCCCTTCGCCATGGCGAATGCACGCTCGCAAAGATTAGATATCTCTCTTGCCAGCCTTAACAAGACTGACTCAGTCTACCTCGTTAGCATCACAATTCGATTCACAGGGAGCTGTCAGTGAGTGTCGATATCATCATCATCATCATCATCATCATCGGTTGAATATTCGCTAACTGAGTAAGAGCAGACGATAGATTTAAGGTCATGTATTTTTTAGCATGTACATTATTTTCGGTAGTTTATGTATTACATAATTTTATAAAAGTGATACACATGATGAATCTGCCTATGTGATCTTAATTTGAAATCCTAAAGTGAAAAAATTTAATTTATTAAAGATTTAAAAAAAATTAACAACTTTTATAATAATTCTTTTCATGGTTAGAAAATTAAGAATTTTTTTTACAAATAATTGATTTTTTCAAAAATTAGCTTGTACAGAATAAATGTATTCCATTCAACATTACGTTAATCAATTTATATTGTAATACAGTTAAAAGTTGTAATATAAGTACAATTTGCATAATGACGATATAACTGGAATTTCTCGTAAATCAAACGTTTGGATTAAATTTTTATTTGTTTTTGATCGGGAAAAGATCGATTTTTTTCGCAGATCTTGCAGCTACTTTACCAAAATTTCAACTATAAGTCCAATTTACTCCATTTGCAACCTTCTAAACTTTTTTTTATTAGAAAAAAGGATGAAGACTTTATGTTATACATTAAGGTCAAGATTGATTAATTTTAATAAAACCAGCTGCGTGAGTCTCTGGAAATATTTCAATTTTGCTATCATATGTTTTCGATTATATTAATATATATTTTTTATATGTAGATAATAGATACAGTTTATAAAAGATGTAAAACAAGAATGACAAAGAGACAAAAAAGAAATTGAACCTTAACGGTATCATCGTAATTGTTATTCGCTTTTGTGAAGATTCAAAATTTGATTATTTAGTGGAAATTGTAATATATTAATCGGTGTAGCTAGATGATACTGCTGTGGAATTATAAGAAAGAAAAAAATTAAGCGTAAGAAGGAATGCTGGAGAAAAATAGAGCATTGGAAAAGAGAGCGGAAAGTGCACCAAACAATTAAATATCTCTGTGATAAGAACTCCATAGTACCAGAGTATTAAGCGGAGCCGAGCCCACTGCCAGAGTACAAGTGTATATGTGCACACGCATGCTAGTGTGATGCGAAACTATAATATATTATAACATACATCGTACGACGATGAAGATAAACTATCGCGTCAGAACTCAGTTTGATACAGATGTTCAATTTCTGATAACTGTGACGATTTTCAAACTTTCATATTAATTTCATGTGATTGTATGGAATTCTACCTAAATTCTAAATTTCTTATAAATAAATTATAAACAAACGATATTTTAGACAAATTTTAAATTCTAAACAAATTTATACTTTTTTAAGCTTTTCAAATAACAACACACATACGCGCACGCTCAAATACGCACATAAACATATTATAAAACAAATTGAATTTATATCTTATTACTTATACAGAATGTCCCGTAAAGACTATAATATACATAAAGTTAAATTTCTGAGATCATTTGAGGAAATTTTACCAAAATATCAAGACTACTAGTTTTTTAATTGTAAGCGTTCAAAGTTAGGAATTATATTACCTAAAATTTTCGCGTTCAAGTATAGTACAAAGCAAAATGCTGAAGACGAAATTGTTACCCCTTTTGTTAATATTAATATAAAGATTACATAAATGAAGACAAAATTATATATATTTTTGCAAACACATTGTGGAATAACATTTCCTCTTTTATAATAACTTTTTTATAATTTTTTATTTTTACATAAAGTGCAAGCTGTCAGATAACATTTCTTTAAGAAATGTTATCATAAAATTGTATTTACTACCAATTTTACATCTTAGATGTAAAATTAGTAGTAAATATAAATTGGTAGTAATTATTGAATAGTACGTAGTTAACTAATGATATGTACCCTTCTTATAATTATTTAACAAAATAAGCAAAATAAACTATTAATATAATAATCCATATTAAACATTTTATTAAAATAATCCAAGGAAATTATAGAAACTTATGAATATTTTAAAAATTATTTATTATGATTCATATTAATAAAATTTATAATGTTAAATAAAAATCGACTGATGAAAATAAACGCACATAAGTGAAAAACGCCGTATTCGGTCGAAGGTGATTCTTCGCGTATAACAATATTTCTTGTAAATTTACAATTTCTAGTTCAAGCAAACTGTGCGTCGATTATTTGTTTATCTTGAAACACGGTTCTAAGCCAAAATTCTAATAGTAATATCAAGAATTAAATTGAAAAGAAATATTTTTAATGCTAATAAGCATTTTTAGAAACCTGTAAGTAATTTATTGAGAAAAATTAATATTTTTTGCAATACATTATTTACACTCTTTTAAAAATTACTCAACTGGGATTCGAACTCGAATCTCCCGAAAGCTTGGGAGATCCGCTTGCTTGAATTAGAAATTGTACAAATTTGCAAGAAATATTAGGTACAAAGAATCGCTTTGACCAAATATGGCGTTTTTCATTCAATTTAATTTATATTAATTAAAAATGCTTATACAATTAATCATAAAATTGGTTATTATTTACATTAAAGTTTTTTCCAAATTTTAATTTTTTTCTTGCATTCTTAATAAAAATTTTTATTGCGTCTCCAGCAGCGATAATCAATCGGGGGAGGTGTAAGTTACCTATTTTTTTTTGACATACACGAAGAAAAATTGTTATCGAAGAATAATCGTTAAACTGAGAAGGAACGGATCATTATATGAACAAAATTTTGTATAATTCTAATAACTATAATGACTTGTAAAAAACACTAGCGTCATACTAATTTTCGTTTAATTCTACTTACATCGTTTAATTCTACTTACGTTTATGAATGTTAACTGAAGATGGTCTAATTTAGACCGAAACGTCTTATTGTAATAAATTTTATATAATATATCATTTTCGCTGACGATAATTGGCGTAGTGGTTCAATGCCTTTGATTTTGTATTGTTTTTAATATTAACCACGTCTCGACTTATTTTGCTATTTTTTTTATAATTATTTATAGTATAAAAATGAAAATGAGGAGAACTTCCTCAATGACCTTGTCGTTGACATATGTTGTCAAGGTCGTGATTCTGAGTGACTTTGGAAAAGTTTTAATCGTTCTTACTCATTAAAAAATTAAAAAAATTTTTTAAATAGTCTATTTCTGCTGTATACAGCATTAAGAACTACACACCCTTCCCTGCCTACGTAATGACTTTCCACGAAAGCGAGGTGCACCCCCCCCCCTGCCTGGGGGAAAGTCAAACGCCCCTAGGCAGAAAGGAGATGGGGTGGACCTTGCTTCGCGTGAAAAGTTAAACACACATAAGCAAGGAGAGAAGTGGGGTGGATCTTGTTTCAAATATAAAATCTCAAATTTTCTGCTTTAAAAAGAAATTCTTTTGCTTTAAGAAGAATATTTTTATTCTTAAAATTTATTTCAAAGCAGAGAATTTGCATTTTTAAATATTATTAATTTTGCTAAAACTATTATATTTTTTAAAACTAATTTTTTAAATATTATAATTCTTTTAACAAGTAAGTCAAGGTCGAAGTCATTGGGGAGGCTTCTCTCATCTTTATTTTTACCTGGAAATTAATAGTTTAAAAATTAAATAGATTACACATTTTTCGACCTCCTTCAATAGATTATCAGTGTTAGAGTCACAACAAAGATTTTTATCAAGATTGCAAGAAAAAAACCATTAAAATTCGGAAAGGGTCTTATTGTAAAAATAATTACCGTAAAATTTTATAATTATATACAATTTATAAAATCAATGTTGTATGTATATTGTAATATTTAAATTGTGTACTTTTCATGTCTATGCATAATTTGCAACATTGCATTAAACTTTTCTGCGTAACTTTTTTGGATAAACTTGTAACTGTTTCGACAATGTGATTGTGTAAGATATTTAAATATAATGTATTATCAAAGCAATTACAATGTATATCTCCCGAAATAATATACAATGTGCAACAAAATTTATTGCGACGCGCAAGATTGTGCATAGATATAAATAAGGCATAATTTGAACAATTATTATGACATACATGATTAATTTTACAAATTATATGAATTAATAACTATAAAATTGCACTATTGTATACGCATTTTAGTTTTAATTAATAAAAATTAATATGAATTACATAATTAATAATTTTATAATATTTATAAGTTACTAATTCATACTTTAATAAAATGTTTAACATTGATTTGAATGAGTTTTATTCAAATACTAGCGACAATAGCTACTTATTTTGTTAAGTGTAGGATATAAATACATGTCATTTGTTAACTACTAGTTTTTTCGAATTATTTTTCTAAAACGTTAACATGAGCTTGAATGAGTTCTACTTATATATTAGTAATAGGTGCTGTTTATTTTGTTGAATATTTATAAGACATACATATTATTTCTTAACTATTTACTATTTGATAACTTCATTTTTACATATAAGATATGAAATTGTGATAGTAGATTTCTTAAAGAAATACCATGTGATAGCTTGCACTTGCATCATGTAAAAATGAATATGTTATTATCGAAAAAGGAGTGTTATTGTACAATGCATTTACAAAAACATTAATAATTTTATCTTCTTATGTAACCTTTATTTTATTATCAATATTAACAAGAAGGGCGATAATTGGTTTTCACTTGTAGTATTTGTACATTGTATTGCATATCTGAACGCGTGAACTTTAGGTGATATTCACCAAATAATAGCTTATAATTTAAAAACTATTGTAGCGTTAATGTCTT